TATGGCATGATAGGCTTGGACATCCATCTGAAATTGTGTCTAGTCACATTCCAGTGATATCAGAATCAATAAAATCTCATTGTTTGTGTGAAATTTGTCCTTTGTCCAAGCAACATAGATTACCATTTCCTGTGAGCCATACTAGATCATGCAGCATTTTTGACCTGATCCACGTAGACATCTAGGGGCCATATAAACAAGGATCTTTGACAGGTTGCCATTTTTTCCTCACTATTGCAGATGATCACAGTAGGGCAACTTGTACTTATCTGATGTCTAGTAAAACACAGGCTATACCATTGCCAGAACAATTTTGTAAAATGGTGCAAACTCAGTATCAAACTGATGTAAAAGGGGTAAGATCAGGTAATGGCTCAGAGTTCTTAAGTACATCCTGTCAAGCCTTGTTTACTTCTCTTGGCATCATTCGTCAAAAACCTGTGTTTATGCACCTCAACAAAACGGAATAGTAAAGAGAAAACATCAGCACTTATTGCAAGTTGCTAAGTCTCTTTTGTTTCAGCCTCATTTACCTAAACTGTTTTGGGGAGAAGCTCTACTCACTACTACTTATATTATCAATGGACTACCCTCTTCAGTTTTACAATGGAAAACCGCTTTTGAGTTATTGAATCATAAGTCCCCTGATCTCAGTAACCTCAAAACCTTTGGCTGTCTATGCTTTGCAACAAACAACCTTCCATCTAGGGGCAAATTTGATGCAAGGGCTATCAAATCCATCTTCATAGGATATCCTCCTGGCCAGAAAGCATATAAGCTTTACGATCTTAAAACAAAAACCATCTTTGTTTCAAGGGATGTTGTTTTCCACAAACAGCATTTTCCTTTCCAAACAACTACATCTTCTTCCCAGTCTGTTCCAACAGTTTCATCTTCTTTTGATAATTTCTTGTATGATCAAGATATTACGGATCCTTCATATCCACCTCAGTTTTCCACTATGACTCAGAATCTGATCTTAATTCTGAGTCTCAACATGGTGATATTCACACTCATGAAAATCCTCAGGTTGAAACATCTCCTTCTTCTGATATACATCACCCTGTTGTTAGGAGAAGTACCTGAGAAAGGCTTTTACCTGTTAAACTACAAGATTATCAAGTCAATCTTCCTTCCAGATCACATCATGTCAACCATGTCACTTCATCTATATCTCATTCCTCACCATATACACCCAACACTTTTCCATATGTTCATTCATCTGTTTTCAGACATGAATACCTTGCTTTCTTGGCGAATATTAACCAAGCACCAGATCCAACTGACTATACACAAACAAGAACCAGGCCTGAATCGATGCAGGCTCTGCAAGCTGAGCTGGATGCGTTGAGGCCAATCGTACATGGGATTTGGTTGATCTTCCCCCTGGAAAGAGGCCTATTGGTTGCAAATAGGTATATAAGACCAAGTTCAAACCTGATGGAAATATAGAAAGGTATAAAGCAAGGCTGGTTGATTGAAGGGATGGATTACATTGATAGCTTTTCTCCAGTAGCAAAGATGGTTACAGTGAGAGTCCTCCTTGCTGTTGCTTCTGCTCCAGACTGGCTTATTCATCAGATAGACATCAACAATGCCTTCTAACATGACCATTTGTTTGAAGATGTCTACATGAAGAAACCTGAGGGTTATGATAAGGGACAACCAAATCAAGTTTGCAAACTCATTAGGTCACTCTATGGCCTTAAAGAGGCATCAAGACAGTGGCATCTTGAGTTTGCTGAAAAAATTAAAGTTTTTGGATTGAGGCAGTCTCACAGTGATCCATACCTCTTTACTATGCAATATTCAGGTGCTTTATCGGCCATTTTGGTGTATGTGGATGATGTTCTCCTGGTTAGTTCTTAAGAGACTGCAATATCAGCCATCAAGAACTTCTTGCATCAAGCTTTTACCATCAAATATTTAGGGCCAGCAAGATATTTTTTGGGCATTGAAATAGCCCGTAGTGCTGAAGAACTCTATCTTAACCAATGGAAATACGTTTTAGATATCATGAACCGTACTGGAATGCCTGGATGCAAACCAGCTCAAACACCTCTACCCAAGGGGTATTTCTTTCCTGAAGATAAAGATTGTGGTGAACTGTTGCTTAATCTTGCTCACAGAACATTGGTTGGTCAGCTGCTCTATTTAGGATTCACCCGCCCAGATTTGACATATGCTGTTCAGCAACTCACACAACATACTCAGAATCCACGTGACAGACATTGGTAGTCTCTTTTACATGTACTCAGATATATGAAACCTTATCCTTCAAAAGGATTATTCTATCCTTCTTCTACTGCCTTGAATCTGGTTGGATACAGTGATTCTGATTGGGCAACTTGCCATGTTACACCTCAATCTCTCTCTGGATTCTGTGTTTTTCTTGGTGGCTGTCTCATCTCTTGGAAAACCAAGAAATAGGACACTGTATCAGCTTCATCAGCAGAAGCTGAATACAGAAGTCTTGGATTGATTGCAAGTAAGTTGAAATGGATCTCATACATCCCCCGAGATCTCCATGTTGCTGTTGCAACTCCGATTTCACTGCATTGTGATAACCATGCTGCTCAACACATCACGGAGAATCCCATTTTTCATGAGCATACCAAACATCTTGAAATAGATTGCCACATTATACGTGATTACTTCAAAGCCGGCTTCTTCATCTCTTTCATGTAAATAGTTCTGATCAACTTGTTGATTGCTTCACCAAGTCACTTTCAGCATCTCAATTCTCTGGTTTTCTGGACAAGCTGGGCTTGATCGATTTCCATCAAGCTGCACCTTAAGGGGGGGCTGAAGGAATAGTCGTTGATGTATAGTTTTCCCAATTATGGGGTGTTATTGTACATAGTAGAAACTAGCAGTAGATTCTGTAAATACGGGAGGACATTCTTGTCTTTCTGCTTAGGCATTAAGTCGGCAAATCATCAACTATTTATATACTGTACAGAATCAGAAAACTAATCATTAGTTTTAATACATCAATATTAATTCCCAAATCTTCTCTCAGATTCCCACTCTAATGACGATTCTCAAAACCCTAATTTCACTCACTTCTTTCGCTTATACATATAGGGAAAAATAAGGAAATATATCAAGAAATACCGTGTCTAAAATCTGGATTATCCCCTAATCTGCTCAAATCCCAAACGAAAATATAGAAATAAATAAGTGTGATTTAATCCATATAATTCTCCCTTTTCCTTAAAAAAATATGGTTCCTAATCCAACGACACCCAATGTTCCCGCCACCACTTTTGGATGTAATGAGAAGCTTTTCAAATTTAATCAATGAAGGACGTGACCCCACTTTCCTTTTACCTGATCAAATTTGAATTAAGCTCCTAATCAAATTAATGTGACGAAAAATCAACGACCAACTTAGCGTGACCGACTTAACCATTTGACTCCATTAGTAATATAACAACGACTTTGTCGCCATGGGGAGCCACAAAATCCCACATATAAGGTAATTGACATTTGAAAAGTACTACGAGTTAAACCCACGACCGGTAGTAATATTTTCGCCCTTAAATTATTATTCAATTAATTTTTTTTTAGTATAAAGTGAACTAAAAAAATTCAAACTCGAAAAAAAATTGTAGAATGTGCACGCGACACCCTTTTCAGCATTTAATTTTGTGACCAACCTGGAAAAAAAGTAACTCTTTTGCCCTCTCCATTTTCTCCAACGTGAAACTATGATTTACCTTATTGGCCTTTCGGCCCTTTCTTTATCGTCAAAATTCAAACTCAAAAATTTGGATTCGGTACTATTTATAAGAAATTTTCAATTGAATATAACAGAAATTTCATAAACCTTATAAATCAGACCAAGGTAGATTTATTCATTTATTTACTCCATGTTTCCCAAAAACTAGTCCACATTAAGTTTTTGAATTTATACTAAAATTGATACAAATCACAAAATTCAATGTGAACTATTATTTTGGGATAGAATGATTATCTATTTTATTAGTAAATTCCATTATCCATCTACGATATTAGAAAGACAAATTACATGAATGAAAGGAGACAGGGATATCAAAATGTGTCTACCAAGACTATCAACATTGAGACAATGACATAACTCTTGAAATTCTCTATAAGTTTATATGTAGTTTCACTTCAAAACTAATTATTAATAAGCGGAGTAACACACGGGACTTATAAGTTAGTTAATATGTGTTACAATTTTGAATGTGGAACGAGTGTCTTTCAGTTGTTTTCAAGCTCTAAAGGATTTTAACAGTAATGATGCATCATCAATCGCATGTTCAACACAATAAATATACTTCAACGCCAAGGTAGTGGTATTCACTAGCATTTCAACAAAATAGATATTCCATTTGTTTCACAAAAAATAGTTCATAATGAATTTTGAAATTTGTACTGTTTGAGATTAGTAGAAAAAATAATAAAAATCTCAAAACTCATTATGAAATATTTGTTTTGAATTTGGAGAGTAATAGTTATAAACACTATATTCATTGGCTTCTTTTTTGCCCAACCTTCCTCAGAGTTTGGCTCATTATATATTTTCTCTGTTCCAAAATAATTATCCCAAAAAGCTGCAACATAAGTACTACTTTTCTCATCCCGAAACAAATAATTTATTTTATTGAATCAAAATATGAGTAAAACAAGGCAAATAATTTTTTTACTTAAAATACGGAGTATAATTTAATAATTTTATATCCAAGTTTCGAAATGATTGTTCAACTTGAATATGTAATTACTTTTAGTATCAATTATACTGAAAATGAAAATTTAAACAAGCTAATTATTTTTGGGAGAGGGAATATTGGTTTTGTGTTGATTCATCTTAGTCAGCAAAATGCGACAAAATGAAGATACCAATCGATGATTGTGGTGCAATTATCTAAAAACGTGATCTACGGTAAAGTATGTGGCAAGTCTCCTTGACTTTTATGGCATCTCTATTTGTATATAAGTTCTTGTTTTCAGATGAAATTAAGATTCATCACATTTGTTAGTTATGGTATCCAAGGGTTGCTTGAAACAACTTTCCTTTTCACTCTCATTAGCTGAAACAACTGGATTTTGTTCTCTCAACTCTGGTAAGTTTTATTCCTTAAGCCCCAAAATTATTATTCAATTTAGGTTTTTAGTTCTATTTCAAATTCTAGTAAAAATAAAAATCTAAATTGGACAATAGTTATAGGACGGAGGGAGTATATCTTTGTGTTATCATAACCTTTGAGCAATGCTTTTTTTAACTTCTTGTTTTAACTTCCATTCACAGGAGGACCAGATGTTTACAAATGCAAACGATGGAAAAAGGTTGAGAAACAACTTGTGCCAAAGGCAATTTATATCTCTTGGAGGAAGCGAATTATTCCGAAAACCAATTATTATGTCGATGCCAATCCGAAAAGAAAATTATCTGTCGCTTTTTCTCGCAAGGGAAGTGATAATTATATGGTGAATGCGGCAGCTTCTAATGAAGAGCTTTTTGAATCTCAAGTTTTGCATTCAAACAGCTCATTCAAAACCCTTCACGGGCATTTCAATGTCTTCTATCGATTTTCACGACTCCATATATTCTTTGGAAAAGTCAGTTCTATGATTTTTATTTTATTTTTTTTGTTCCTTCTTCTCCTTTCTGAATCCCAATCTATTTAAGATTGAGACTTTTCAATCTTAGTTTTAAGAGCCTTTATCACTGGGCTATATATTACTGTTTGCGTGTATATACCATTAGTTCTAATTAAAATAGTTTTAGACATTAATTGTTTTATTTTTGAGCAGGTATGGGGATTAGTAGCAATTTCTCTTCTGGTAGTGGAGAAGATCTCAGATTTCACTCCATCATTTTTTATTGGGCTATTTCAGGTTTGTCTACAATTTTTAATGACCCCAAGACATTTTAGGCCTTGTTTGAAGAATTTTGTTATCATTCTTTCACTTTTCTCAATTTTAAATTATGCTACTATGTATACTCTACATAACATTCTTTTTACGTATTCAATGAAAATTACGGACTGTATATAACTTTTGGTTTGTTAATAAGAGTATCATTTTATGTATATGTATATATATATATATTTATATATATATATATAAAAGCAATATATTATAGTAGTATTTTGTTTTAAAGGGTTGTGAAAATTGTAATTTTTCAGGTGCTAACTGCTTGCTTTCTCACGCATGTATACACAAATGGACTGAATCACTTGGAAGACATTGAAATCGACAGGGTATGCATATATCAGAAGATTAGTATTTAGTCGATAAGTACATTAAATATGGGTTATGAATATCTTTAGATTTGGACAGTTTTTAAAAATGTGTCCCATTACGTGTATAATAGGACATTTCATTTATAAAGTATCCCATTGAAAATTGAAAAAGGAAACTTATATTTTACCTTTTCACTATTTTGGTCGTTTGTGAATGAGCAGGTTACTTAATTAAACACTTATATAGAAATAATAATATATTTTTAAATATCTTATGATTAATTGTGACAATAGGAGGCACTATTCGGAGTTATACATGTCCTATACACAAATTATGGGGACAAAAAAGTGTCGCAACAACTCTATTCTGTCGTAGTTGATATGATCACATCAACCTTCGATAAATTTTAATTTGAATTAATTTGATACTCATTTATTAAAGCTTTTCCTTCCCCTTGCTTTTCATGTGATGATGTTAATTTTCCAGATTAATAAGCCTTACCGTCCACTCGCATCTGGGGAATATTCATTCACGACTGGCGTAATACTTACTCTTTCTTCTGCACTAATGGTATACTCTTTTTAACATCATTTGTCAATTTTCATTTTTCGCTATCTTTTTGCTGTTGTGATTTGTTGTATTAATTACAAGAAAAATTTTCGGTAATTGTTAACAATCTCATTTCTCTTTAAAATTTCTCTTATGCGTTATTATCACTGTAATTCTAGCTAATTATAACTTGTATACGTGTTTCTTATCGCAGGCTGTTGGAGTTGGATGGATTGTTGGCTCTCCACACTTGTTTCTGTTTATTCTAATGAATTTAATGGCCGCCACTGCATATTCGCTCAATGTGGGTTGCTGCATTTGCAAATATATGAACATATATAATTTGTAGGAAAATCCATGGCCACGATTTAATTATAACCTCCTTTTTATTTAATTAAAATACTCTATCCGTCTCAAAAATAATTATCTAATTTTTATATTAAATATAATACAAGAAAAGGATAATTATTTTAAGATATACAGAAATAGTAAATTTCGTCGGTAAACGACCATTAAAAATTGGATGTCTCTAAACCAACCCATGCACAATTTTCTACGACAGGTATCTCTTAGTACTTTCTTATATAACACGTAAATTAAAGCATCCTATCAAAGTAACATTTTTTGATTCTTTGTACATTGTACCTGGACATCTTTCTTATACTACGTTCATGCATCTTGTTGACTTTATTTTTTTATTATTATATTCTAATCTATGTCATTGGGCCATACTAAATTATACTCCCTTGTCCCAAATCAACAATCTACAATAAATTTTAGTACAAATTTAAAAACTCAATTTGTATTTTTTTTTTTAGACAGAATTAATAGTTATGGTCATTGGAGATTATAAGATGTTGAAACTATATCTATATACTCATCAAAGGAAGGTGCTTAACTGTAAACAATTAGTTTATGGTTTTCCTATCTTGAATATTTTTTGTTTGTTTGTTAATTTCATTGCCAATGCAGGTGCCCTATTTGAGATGGAAGAGCAATGCGTATCTTGCTGCATTTTGTATCTTCATTGGGCTGGCCCCTTCAGGATTAGCAGCTTATTTGCACATCCAGGTCTATTTCCTTTATGTATAACCAACATAAAACAAAAAAAAAAAAAAAAAAAGTTCAGAAAGTTGTTAATTAAATATTGCATAAAAGACATGCATTCCGTATAAAATTCCATAACATTGAAAGTATACATATACATATATATATATATAGATATATATATATATATAAGCAACAGTTCTAATTGGGATTCCCTAATCGGAAAATGTTCTATTTGAGATCCTTACTATGTACGTTTTGACATTTTTTAAAAGAGAAAATACATGCCAGATTAAAAAGTTTGTTTAGAAAAACGTAGAGGAAAAAGGATAACAATAAATAAAACGAATGGGGAGTATTAAAAAAAAAAAGGAATTTCTCAGACGGGCAAGAATCTATATCCTTCGGGTAAAAATAAAAAATAAAGGAATTTTTTTTATTAATGATTACTTGATGGATTAGTTTACTTAATTAGCTAAATAATGCCGCAGACTTTTGTGTTTGGCCGGCCAGCTCTTTTATCAAAGCCTATAATGTCTGCATTGACGAAGGCTTGCTTCGCTGCAGTTGTAGTAGCACTTTTTAAGGTAAGTTTAGCTTTTCCTTTACATGCTTAAAAATAGGGAAGTATTTGTTGATAAAGAAGTGTATTTCATTACGTATTTTTTCATCCATAACAACCTTGAAAGTACAAGTTTGCTGTAATGTCCCCTAATATTTATGATGATATAACTGTATACTCTTGAGAAAAAAAGTTTATTATCTTAATTATCACTAACTAAACACACACTTACATGTTTCTCGGTAAAATAAATGTCGTGTTTGATTTCACTTTATTGTGCAATTTGTATTAGAAATTAAAATTTAAGTGAACAATTATTTTGGAACGGAGTATAAGCTTTTTAGATCAATCCTACTGGTGTGAGATTTGATTGGTTTTAGTTCACGTTTGATTCCCACGGGGCAACGGTATAAGTTTCCAGGTCCTGATTTGCTTAATTGTTGCGAGTTACTGTATTTTAAACTTTGCCATGTAGAGGAAATTGAGTTTTTATTTATTTCAGGATATTCCTGATGTTGCCGGAGACAAGATACATGGCGTTCAATCTCTTGCAGTTAAATTTGGCGGAAAAAAGGTTAGTTTTGGTAAGAATAGTTCTGCATGCATTGAAACAGATCCGAGCCCAGATACATCTTTCAAATTTAATTATCTATTTATCTTCAGGTGTTTTGGATTTGCATTTTCCTTTTGCAAATTGGATATCTTGCTGGTGTTTCTGCCGGATTGACATCTTCCAATAATTGGTGCAAATTCATAACAGTGAGTAATACTCTATAATGAAATATAAGATCAAGTGATCAACCAACATTTATATTAAGAAAAAATTAAAAATTCTAAATAAATATTTCGATCCTATTATTTTAATTTCTCGAACCAAATAATCCACGGATCGAGGTCTTGATGCATATAGATACAAAGGATTCAACCGAATCAAGAAACGTTTGCAACAGCTTCTTAATCACTTAACTAGCTTATAAACCATATTCTTTATATGGATCTTTTTTTTTTTTTGGTTCGCTTTTCTTATAATTGATTCATCCCGAAGGCTGATTGTTATTCGTTTTCCTCAATGAAAATATTCTTTGCTACTGACGAATTTTTAAATGTCCAGGTTGCTGGTCACCTTTTTCTGTCTTTGACACTGTGGAGTCGCGCCAAATGTGTCGATGTGGGAAGCAAGGAAGAAACATCATCCTTTTACATGTTTCTGTTGAAGGTATTTACATATCTCTTTTTAGTTTTGATAGGAAATACTGGTACTCTCTCCGTTTTGATAAGAATGATTTTTGTTATGCTGAAATTTAAATATACAGAATTTTATTTTGAAACGGAAAAAATACAAAGTTCTGAATGCAAACAATATAAGCATCTTAAGATGTCTAGGAGACATGTTGCCGAAATTAACAAAGCTCACGTCAGTAACTATTTAATTGTTTCATTATGCATATCATCACAATGCAAATATATTATAATCTAAATAAGTGTTAATAGATCTTGTGGTGGAATGATTTAACCAATGATCCGTAATACCACATCATAATTTCTTTCAGCATAAATTATAAGATATGCTAATCTATAACAAAAGATATTGACCATTTTGCCCTGGACAGTTAGCTGTTCGTTTATACTTTATCTTCTGAGAGGGGAAAAAAATAATAATGAAAGGTCACTATGATAGACATATTGACATCTCCTTTTTAATGATGTGCAGCTCTTTAGTGTTGAGTCCTTACTCATACCTTTTATGAGGTAATTAGGATACAGACTTCGTCGGGGGAAGTACCGGTGATTCTACAATATTCCACGACATGAGATTACTGTTAATTTTGTTTGCAAATTTCCATTTCTTTCATAATCAAGAAATCCTAGGTTTGTACTGTATAAACAATTCACGAGTGTTGGCACTACTAAACTCCACATTTTTATTCCTATAATCATACGGCAAAATATATGTATGTGGGTGTGGGTGTGGGCGTGGGTGTGTGTGTGTGCGCGCACGCGAGGATGATTATGGTTTCTTTTTCATTTTTTGTTTTTGTTAATATATTAGATATTATTAGTAACGTACATGCTACAGACTGAATAATTCAAATGCGTAGCTTAGAGCGGATTAGGTCATAATCCCTTTTACCCTATTAAAGTAGAATACAGGATGTTAATGTGGCAACTTCTTATTAAAACTTTTTGGCTCCAAATGCACCATATTGCATTGACCATTCTGCCACGTGTCATCCCCTTTTTAAAAGAAAAAAAAATCTTATCCGGAAAAACAAAAGTTACTTTAGAAAAATAGCTACACAATTTTAACTCCTAAAATTTATCATTTATCAATCAAATTAAAATAGTATTTAAATTTGTCATAAACTTATCTCCTTTATTACTCCACATTCTTTTGTATGGTTTCTGTATCGTTGTACTTTTCAATATTTTTTTCCTTTGACAGATGATTTTTTATTTTTATTTTTATTTTTGGCTAAAAAAAGAAAAAAAAAACCAAATGCGTAGCTATTTTATTTTTTCCAACTCAAAAATTTATTTATCTATTAACACAAATTTAAAGTAGAGGGGTGCCCAGGCATCTGCCTGGGCCAAGCATCTAGTTCATTATTAAGTCTATAAACAAACACTTCTTGTTGTGCAGTGCACACAAATCATACATCTAGAAGAGTATATATAAAACTAAAAAAGAAAAATGAAAATAAAAACCATAGTCTTCTAGATGGCAGCAGAGGCCTACGCCATTGCTCCTTGTAAGCGGAAGCCATTAGAATCATTGTCCTTATCACGAAAGGTTACCCGATTTGCCTAAGATACAAAAGATTTCAAGAATTGCACAACTCATTTAGTTGCTTTGTTTTTAAAATAATTGTTCGAATCCTTCACCTTTTTGAAATGCGTTATTTGGTTAAATTTAATTTCGGAGGTCGTCAGTAAATCTAAAAACTAACGCACAAAGAAAATTACTTGAACGAAAGAGCTAATTACTTTTGTATCCTTAACTTCTGAAGGGATGCATACTCTGTGCACTTCTTCTGTAGATGGAGCCACGTCCACCTATTCAGATGGAATTGCAATGACAGTTCATCGTCGGAAAAATGACTCGTTTGGACCATAGACGATCAACACGATTTTCATACTCCTTTCGTTCCAAAATTATTGTCCAATTTTACTAAAATACAAGATTTTATTTTTAGTTAAACTCAACCGAAATTTTGGCATAAACTTCCACCCTGCATACATAATTAGTTTACCGGCCAAAGATTCTTTTCTTTAACTCCTAAATTCAAAGACCCAATTTAAAAGCCAGAACAACACCTTCAATTCCAATTTTTATTCAATCAAGCGCTTATGATAGAAAAAAATTTTCAGATTAAGAACTTCAAATTCGGAGAATATTTTTAGTCTTAATTTCAATTAGTTTTGTATAAATACAATTCTTCTATCTTACCGGAACCTTCCACGTCAGTATAGATCGAACAGAGTTCGTGAGGCCATCGATTGTGCCAATCATCGACTCCGACTTTATTGATATTTCTTCAATCCTTCCGATGAAGCTGAATTTTTTGTTGATTATCTAGCTGAGGTATTAGATTACAATCCAATTCATGAAACCTCTTGTCCCAATTCATATGAATCATCTTTAAAAGTGAAGGAATAAGAATGTCACTGACGATGAGTGGAGGGAATCTAATTTTAGGAATGTTTCAAGATTTACTTTTCATTTTACTTCACAAATCCAGCCTCGCCGCTGTTTAGTGCCGCCGGAGTAAAGCCGTCGAAGTAAAACCTTGTTTTTGCTGCTGGTAGAAAATAGGTTCAACTACATTGTTATTTTTTTATTAGAGGGTATAAGTGTAACTTAAATTACAAAAAGTCAAATTGGACAATAATTATGGAACAAATTTTTTTAGTCAAACTGGACAATAATTTTGGGATGGAGGGAGTAAAACCAATTAAACTAATCTATTCACCAAACAACCCAGTTAATCTCCTTTTACTTGACAAACAGAAAAACATATGATATCCTAATGAAAATAAGTTTTCCTTTTTTTCTTCCCTTTGGTACAATCATGAAAAGGATTCCATAGTAAGTGGGTGCACAAACTCCAAATCCAAATTCATTTCGGGAAAAAAAAAAAAAAAACGAGAAATGAGATCTGACTGGAGTGGTAAAAGGACTTTATAAACATGTATCAGGTCTTCTAGATGTGACATTTTTTGTTCTAACACTCTCCCTCATGGGAATTTACCAAATGGGTTTGCAATACCAATAATAATTTTTCTTATTTATCAGTTTATAGTGATGGGGTCAGTCAACAATTCAAAGGGTCGGTCAAATTTTGCCTACAAATCAATGGTCCGATTGGGTTGGTCATTACAAAATAGAGCACGACACAATACAATCATAATCAGTGGACTGATTCTGATACCATATCGAAATATGTAAGTAAATCGAGTTTCATCTTAATAGTAAAATACAAGAAATTTTTTATTCAAATATGTATTGAAATAGTAATTATTTGATCATTACTACGTTTCTTTTCATAGGAATGAGAACAATTTTAAAATATTGAATAAATTAAGAAAACAGTAATAAGTATAAACTACTATTACCTCTATTCCCATTATTACTAGGAAACAAAATTAAATTACCATTACCTCTATTCTCATTATTACTGTAAAAAAAACACAGCCTAAAGGAAATAACTAGAAATAATTTTTTTAATAGATTAATGGAAATGTATATTTTCGTTTGATACTGAAGCAAATGATTCCTTCTTTTCTTCTTCTTCTTCTTTTTTCTTCCAAATGATTTTCCCTATTTTTATACAAGAACCACCTTCAATATATTCCAATGATAAACTAATATTTTGATTGGCTGAGAGACTCCCGATAACATCAGCGATTTTAATAAGGGGTAAAACAGCCAATAGATAAACACATTGTTTCCCAAAAAAAAATTTAAAATTAAAACCGACCTTAAAATTAAAATCTTTGACTTCAATACGACATCGTTTTTATGCCCACGCGGAATAAAAACCGTCGCCGTCCTTTTGACTTCGTACTTCCCAATTCCCATCCTTCGCCATCTTTTCCCACCGTTTTCGATATTCATCCCCCCAAAACACCAAATCTCTCCCACACAAATGACTCCAACATTGATTCTGAACGCATATAAGAAATTTGATGTTTATTATAAGGCGGAGGAAGTTTTTCCCTGGTTGGCAATTCCGCTGATGAAGCCCGCCGGATGTCGGAGGAAGGAAGATTCTCTTCGGGAGGTGGAGGATCTGGAGGCGATGGTTGTTTGGAAGCGGGAGTTGGGGATGACGCTGATGGAGGTTTTAACGGTGGTGTTTGGGTAGGTTTTGGTGGTGGTGCTGCTGCTGGGGTTGGGTTATTGCCGGTGCCATTAGAGACTATACAAGGCAGCTTCCACGGTCGCCGGTGGTGATGGTGATGGATCCTTTCCGTCCATCTGCTCCTACCCCTTCTGCCTCTATTTTTCAGTTCAAGCATTCAGGGCTTATTATTAGAATAATTAAATAAGTAGTTCTTCTTGGATAGAGATATATCTATTAAGATTAGGTCATGAATTCTAATTTATTATCTCTGCTAAAATTAGGTTGGTATCTCCATGTTGCTTTCGGGTTTGAAAAGAGCTGGTCGAGGTGTAAATGGATGGAACAAAGACAGGACTAAGCGTAGCAATTTAAGGCAGGCGGTAAGTCAAATTTTGAAATTTTACTTCTTTAATTGAATTGAATTCTGTAAATATCAGCATGTGTTTAAGTTGGAATGAAAGCGAGACTTAATTTTCTTGACTTCTCACTATTTTGCATTGCTTGTTAGTTTGGTTATTGCTCACTATTTTGTATTGCTTGTTAGTTTTGTTTAATAACCAGTTTTGTGCGTCATTGGTAACTTCGGCGACTTGGATGTTTCGAAGCAAGATAAGCTGGGAAAGGAGGTGTGCGCAACTGTATGGTCCCCATCATAGTTTGCAAACTCGCGATCCTGGATCGTAGGATCGGATGATTCTACGATCTCAGGTACCTAAATCGATTCTGTATCGATCAAATTCGAATTTTGCAGTGAGATCAGAGTGGGATCGGTCAGGATTAGTTAAGATCATACATGATCGGTCAGAATCGGTCCAACTTTACTATTCATCAATTATAAAAAATTAATTGAGCTTATTGAGCTTTTTCTTTTTCTTACTTCTTTTGCTTCACATTAAATTGAGGCAAATATTTTTTGAGAAAACTTTTATTACTACGAAAAATGTATTTTAGAAAGCTTTTCTAATAAAATGAAAAGAATAACTATAAGAGAAGAGTTTTTCTTAAAAAGTTACGAAAAAAATTCATATAAGAAAATTGAATTTACACAATTCTTTTTGTTTAGCTGTTAAATAATTTATGTAAAAATAATTGAAACCTAATTATCAAAGCAATTAATTATAAAACATGTTATAATTAATTTTACGATCCTACTATTCCGATCTTACCAATCTCGTTTACGATCCGATACTATGACCCATTTCGATCTTATATAGGATCACGATCCTGCAAACATTAGTCCCCATTGATGGGTCTGTTATTGTGCAGCAATTAATTGAAGCAGCAATCCTACTTGATAATTCTGTTTTGACCAGAATCCTGTTTCAAGTATTTGGTTAGTTTTTACAGCTCAAATTTTAATCTTTCTTCATGTAGAATGATGAGATTGTTCACCATTTGTTATTTGTCTCTTCTGCATGATTACTGTAACTTAGCGTTCCATTTATTGTGTAAGAGAAGCAGTAAATATTAAAGCTTGAGAGATGAGTGCTGAAAATTGATTTAGGAAATTAAAACTGGATCTCTTGGAAGTTCCCAACGTTTTGGTTGATCACACTTGCAACTTAACAGGAATCTTATTTTGCATTTGAAGAGAGGAGTTCACATTTTTAATAAGATTTGGAATCCTGTTTCTTGTGCAGGTTCTTCTTCGAGAACCACTAAAGGAAAATGTTATTCCTGTTTTTGAAGAACTAGGAAGGAAATTGAAGCCAACAAATATCACTCATGAAAACGATGCTGCACATCATGATGCTGAAAACGCTGAAGAGGATGGTATGCTTTTCTGCTCATTTGTTGTAATTTCAGATTTGCACACTGTTGCGTTCAACTTTATATGTGACTGTCTATGTCTTATGTTCTTGAAGGCCCATATAAGCCCACATTTTGTTCCACTTCAAAACCAATTAGCTATGAGGGGAGTAGCACATAGGGTATATATGTTGAGTTCAAGAGTATTCATTCATCTATGTGGGACAATGGAACATGAGGTTAATTCTTTCATTCATTCATTTAACACGCCTCTCTCAAGCCCAATGGGCTTGGATGGGTAACTTTATGTTTTTATTTTTTTTTTAATTTTTTAATTTTTTTTTTCAGTCTTGCAATCGGTTATTTTCCTAGATAAATTGTCGCCTGCCGGGCCAGTCAAAGTTCAAAGTCAAGCCCCGGATTTCTTCCGTAGGTTGACCAAAGTTTCAAGACCCAATCTGGTTCAGTCCACCTCGTCCCACATGTCCCACAGGTCCGCGGATTAAAACCCGCTCTGATACCATCTTGAAGGCCCATAGAAGCCCACATGTGGTTCCACCTCAAAACCAATTGGTTATGAGGGGAGTAACACATAGGGTTTATATGTTGAGTTGAAGAGTCTTCATTCATCCATGTGGGACAATGGAATATGAGGTTAATTCTTTCTTTCATTCATTTAACATATGTGTCCTAACTACCTTCACTTTTTAGAATCTCCTTTTGAATTTAGGGCCTTAGAGGTGACATTGGAAGCAATATGCAGTCATCTGGCAGCTCGTACTGTAGAGTTGGAAATTGCTTTCTACCCTGTTTTAGATATATATATATATATATATATATATATTTTTGTCAAAAGCGGTATTCATTTCAAAGATAAACCAAGATGTTCTGTTACATAAGATGAGTTAAAGACAATCTACCATAAATGACTCCTCTAACCACAAAGGGACTTAATTATCCCAACTTTGTGTACATTTGCTAGAAAATGCTAGTTTGGCTAGATTATGACATAAAGAGTTCCACTCTTTTCTAATATACTTGAATTTACAACTGGTAAACAAAGACTTTAACAGTAAGATGTCTTCAACTATAGTCGACACATCTGAAATGGGATTGATATTCCCCTGTAACCAAGTAACCATAGTCTTTACATCTAGCTGCATTTCTACATCCCTGATTCCTTGTTGCTGCGCTGATTCCATTGCCCTATGTTACCCGGACTCGGATGTTTAGGCCTCTGTACCCGTGTCGCCACGAGTCGACACCGACACAGGTGCGGAATTCGTGCGGGATCTGGTCAGCCGAATTTAGGTGCGTTGACTTTGCGGCAAGCACCATTGAAGTACTCCGGCTGGTAGTTCCGTCTTTTATACTCATTCATCGTTAAGACAGATTGAGGGAGAAGAGATCCGGCCATTAGGGGCTGAAGTGATTGGATTTTACTTTGGTCGGCGGCGAGATGCAGAGCGGCCGAATTTGAGGAAGAAGAAGGCTTCCAGTTTATAAAAATTATATAAATTGCAGAGTTGGTCCATATTCTTAAAAATAACCTTTAACACTCCCCATTTTTCCTAAAGTGCTACTTATTGGTTTCTTGTTAGCAGTTTTGCTCCCTCACTTTTACAAAAACACAAACTTTTCCCCAATTTGAGGTTTTGTACACTTAGTCAATTTTAATAAGTTAAAATAATATTGTCAATTTTAATCTATTTAAACCACAATTATATTAAATTAGTTAGTTAAAGAAGTATCCCCGTACCCGCACCCGTGTCCAAATCCATACCCACACATCCTAATTTTATAAAATTTACGAGTCCGACACTTAGATCCCGTGTCATACCCGACACTCATACCCGAGTCCGGGTAACATAGCCATTGCCAATCTCACTGCTTCAAGCTCAGCAACATAAGGATTCTGCACGCATGGAAGGAAGATAGATTGTGCTGTCAGCAGAACACCTCCTTCCTTTCTAAAACTAATTCCTACTCCTGCAGTTGGACTTCCTGCCTTCATATCAGAACAAGTGTTGATTCTGATCTGGCCTTACTCAGGTGGTTTCCACTTATCCCTACTTTCTTCTACTCTTCTTCTTCTTTCTCCCTGTATCTTTGCTTCTTGAACTCCATTGAATTCCTTCCATTCCAGCACTGCTTTTTTCACCACCTCCATGGTGTTTCCTCATTCTGAAACAGGCTTCTACTTCTTGTTTTCCATAAGTGCCATAATATATATACTGTCAGCTCTGTTCGTGGCTGAATTTCCTTCCCATTTCTAATTTCTATCAATGCATTCCACCAATCTTCAAAGGAAATAGTCATAGCCAGCAACCCATCCCACTTCACCGGTGACAAATCCCATACTCTTCTAGCAAAGCTGCATTTAAACAACAAGCGTTCAATGCTTTCTGCTTCCATTCCACATTTTCTACATATGGTGTCCACCTCCATACCTCTTCTCTCTAGCACTGTATTTGCAGGGATCCAGCCTTTGACTAGCTTCCAAATAAAATGTTTGAGTTTGGCCTTAACTGATAGTTTCCATGTCTTTTTCTGAAACAATCCTCCTCCCTTCTCTACCTCTGATAGACTCCCCTCCTCTCCTCTGTTCATACTTCTCATTTTCTATAAGTTTAAAAGCAGACGCCACCGAGAATTTTCCATTCAACTCTCCCCCCCAAACTCTAGCATCGCTACCGCCATGCCTGCATAGTGGAATCTGGAGAACAACTTCTGCCTCGTCAGGAATTAATATTTGCTTGACCAGGTCAGGAATCCATTCTTTTGTAACTGGATCAATCAACTGAGCCACAGTCACTAGGATTTGGAGATTTCTATTTCCACCAATCATCCCCGCTCCACACCCCTCTGGAAGCCAATTGTCGTTCCATATATTCACCTGATTCCCGTTCCCAATTTTCCACCTAGTTCCTCTCTCCACACTCTTACTAGCCCCCAACCATCCCTTCCACATCCATGAGTCATTCCCCTTTTGTCTCTTTTGAAAAATTGTACTATTAGGGTTGAAGGGTCAGATGACTAGCTTGACTGCTAGAGTTCAAAAGGTAGTTGGTAGTTGTATAAAACAATTACTATATTTTAATTTTTTACTTAAGCTTTTGATCTTTATCCACCCCAGTCTCTGCACATGCAATAGCTTCCATGCACTTGTTCTGCCTTCCGCTTTTCTTTTACATGAATTTGTTATGTTGGTTCGATGTGGAAGATAAATTAATAAAGAAAAAAAAGATGGAGCAGGTGTTGAAAATTTGGCATAGTGTTCTTTTTTCTCAGAACACGCAACGGCTGAATTGCTTTTTCTGCTTATACCTGAAGTAATGGGCTTTGTGGAAAACAGACTAGAAATCCTCACCCAAAACCCCTAAGTCCTGTCGACTACAACAATGAGTTCGAAGCGGTGCTCCTCCTCCTCCAATTAAGTTACGTTTGTTGCCTCTTCTCCAGATCAATTTTAATCCGCCTTTTCTATTGGTGGCGAATCTGAAAGCTCGAGGAGAAAATAGTGAATGAAAGAAGAGGAGGAAGAAGAAAACAGAAAGGTAAAAACAACTTTACTTATTCTGCTTTTTGAATCGATGGATGACTCTTGTGATTTTAGAGATTGTTATTTCTTTACTTCTTTCTGACTAAAGAAGCTAGAAACAGGGAGCCGTTATTTGTAAATTTAAGTTTGAAGCACAGTTGGAAAACTATTTGGAATGGGAAATGCAGATGGAAAGGGCCGCTCCATATTGGTGACAGTCTGATTCATATATCTGCACTGTCTTAATCTAATCCCGGATTGATGCTCAATTAATTCTGTCAACGGAGGTAAGATTATGATAAAAAGTTTTGATGGATGATTGGTATAACATAGCTGATATAGCAGGCTGTAAATTAGTTTGAAACATCTCATTAAAACCACTAAAACCATTTTTAGATATTGTGTGCTTATTTTTTTCCCCACCTTTGTTGTGATCACATCAGGATTAGTAATACTTAGTTTTAGGTTCTTGCTGGTTTATGTAAGTCCCAAGATTAGAATAAACCAATATGCTGTAAGGAGAGATTTGGACAACTTCCAACTCAAATTAGGAACATCAGCTGCTTTTGGCATTTTCAAAGATATAAAGAATATTCATTTGCATCACCACTAGAGAAAAATAGCAATACATGTCCTTGAATACTTGCATTACATTGATTGTGGTAAAAATTGACTACGTTGATATTCTGTTGCTTTTCTTAATGCATGTTGCAACTGGGTGACAAGCAAAATTCACAGCACCTGGCTATAACAGATAGAATGGGAAAAACCATATGGAAAAATCCTACTGGTTTTTTGCCAGGTAGAATGGCTCCACTCAAGAACTTCTACAGTTTCATGTCTCTTTCTTTTTTCTCTTTTATGTATAGAGATACACATTTGGATGATAGAAGTGAGTAATTTGACAGAGATGATTCCTTAACACTGATCGGACCTTCTCCTCTTCCGACAAAAGATGTGGGAAGTCCATCTGAAATGAAATCTGGGGATTGCGACAATAACGTTGATATGGAAGAAGACAAAACACTTCCTTAACCCTGTAGTGGACATGAAAAATTCCATACATTGATTGTAAGATGCAACAAATGAATCACTTGAAACCTTCGAATTTCAATGGCAGTTTAATTTTTTTCTTCGTCAGTGATGATTTCTAAGGAAATGCAACTCTCTATCGCTTGAAAAAATAGATAGCAAAGGAATCTCGAAGGTCAAGAATATGTGTACACTTACAAATGGTTACGGAATTATTTGACCGCGTGACCTCACCGTTTACATTATTTTTCTAAGGCAAAATTGTTTTGATATTTTACAATTGACATCACTTCCTATGCCTAGGGAAAATGAAGAAATTACCCATGTACTGAAACATTACTGCAAAGTTGGCACAAAAGTGGAAATCCGTTTAGTTTAGGCTACATCATATCTCCAACAACAATCAACTTATCAACAGAAAATTGCATTTACTGGTGATGTGCAGTTGAACAAAACATGCATAGTTGTAGCGTACGGTAACCCAAGCTTGATGGAGGGAGAGATCACAATTGTTGCCGTACATGGAAAAAGTGTTCCAAAGTAATTGAAATACAAGTTTGATGGAGGGAGGGAGTACAATTGTAGCCGTGAATGGAAATTTTTTTTTTCCAAATTAATTAAAGCGGAGCCGAATAAAACACGAAATTGAAAATAAATGATATAATGAATTACTTATTACTCCAATATCACTATTACCATTAAACAATTAAATACAAACTACACCTCGTTATGAAATTATCCCAATATCAAATTATTTATGATACACTGTAATACAAACTGGTCGCGCAACGCGCGACTAAAAACAACCTAGTATAGAATCAAATATTCCGCTAAGCTAGTTAAAACAAAAAAGAATTGCATCCCTAATATAATTACTAGAATCCATGGTTATCGACAAAAAATCAGCTAATTAATCAATCCTAAAATTGAGATGTCAATAAATTCATAAAGTTATCATTGTTTAATGCCACCCTCAATAATATAATGTTCTTCCACTCCTTTCTCCTTCTCCTCCTTTGCACAGAATGAGGTCTTGGCCTAGTGAGAAAACTCTAAGTGGATATCTTTAAGGGTCCAGAAATCTGTTCCCATATGAGGTATGTAAGAGGAGTTTTTCCACATTTAAATAGAATCTACTAAAATTTAATTAAAATTATGTAAGATGGAGTTTTTCCACATTTAAGTAGGGTCAACTAAAATTTTCACAAAAAAGGTGTTGTAGAAATCGCGTGGGATTATTAGTACTTGGGGTCTGTTTGCTTATATTTTGTATTATAGTTTTAGCTATACTTAGTTCATTAAAAGGTTGATTTTTTGTTATCAAACATGTTAAAATGAAAAATTGTTTAATCTTATTTTAAGCATTAAGTGATTTATAAAACAGACCCATACTCTAAAATAATCTCATTAACACCTAAAAATAATCCTTTACCTATTATTTTCGGAACACAGTAATATTGGGAAACAAAATAAAATTTTCATTACCTCCATTCCCATCATTGCTGTAAAAAAAACACAGCCTAAAGGAAATAAATAGAAATAATTTTTCGTGTACGAATAGATAGATGGAAACTGTATAGTTTCGTTTAATATGAAGGAAATACTGCCTTCCTTTTTTCCTTTTTTTTCCCCTTCTAAATGATTTTATACAATCAATACACAGCTAAGCTAGTTAAAACAGAAAAGAACTGTATCGCTAATATAATTACAAGAATCCAGGGATCTTGGCAAAGAATCAGCTAATTAACCAAACCTAAAATTGAGGTGTCAATAAATTCATAAACGCATCATTTTTTATGTCACTCTCAGACTCAGTTATATAATCTTCTTCCGCTTCTCCTTTTTTCTCTTATCTTCTTCTTCTTTAGAAGCATACAAATCAGCCATGGTAGTAGGAAGAAAAAAAAGGCGTCGGTCACTATCAGAACTGCAGAACACATCATTCAATGCATAATTTCAAACTTGACTAACAGAGAAGCCATCACTAAATTAAGCATCTTATCAAAGGCTTTGTACGCCGCGGTTCGCAATCGCCCCTCTTTCGTTTAGGATACTTCAAAATCACGCAGAGGGTGATAGCAATCTCGTAGACGAAGCAAATTTCGTAAATGCAACCATCAACAAGAAAGTACGAAGATAATTTTGTCTATCCCGTGAAACTCAAAAGAGTGCGGAAAATTCACAGTAAGACGATCGTTTATCTAAGTGATTCTATCTCTTAACTCAAACCAAGCAAAGAACACATTATCCATGAAAGATTCGAATTAAACAACAACCCACGCTAAGAATAGCAAGGACACCATTCAATATACTCGATCAGTCATTAATCAAGAGACTCAAGAAAGGTAGGAGCAAACAATGCCCAACTATGAAGGAATACTATTGATTAGTAATCTTCATAACCAACCAAAGATATGCAACACATACACTATCTCAAAATGCTTATGCCAAAGCACAACTCATCCCAACAAAAGTAGGACAAACCCCACAATGGATCTCATGAACACACTCATCATGAAATTTGAACACCAAGCCAAAGGAAAGGCTCATCAATCGAACTACTAGAAGTAGTATGAAAATAAGAAGTTTAGTTTTAAAACAATTCTATCAAGAAGCATACTTGAAAAGAATGGTTTCGCAAGATCAAAAGATCCAAGACAAGATGAAAACCCTCTTGGTTTAAACATACTTGACACGAAAAATGGACACTCCATTTAACAAAAATTCCTCACAGGAAAAACTCTCAAAGAGACAACAAAAATGACCACTCAAGGGTGCTTCTAAAATTCGGCCAAGCCTCTTTTATATAGGCTTGAATTTTTCGGCCAGCACCTCTAAAAAGAAGACCAATTAGGACTCTCTAATCTTATCTCACAAGGAGAAAAGTAGAAGAGTACTTGATCTCTTTGACTCTATCTAAAATCTAGGAAACCTTATCTAAATCACTTATCCTCAAGTAGGATAATATTAGAAGGAATCTAAGACTCCTAATCAAAACACTCTAGCTTAATTCAGTCCACATGACTTATTTAACTAGATAAAATTCGAAAATAACTCCTAGACTTAGACAAGGACTCTAATCTCGAAATTCAGCTCCAAATTATTGAAGTAAAATGTCTTGAACGCCCTTCCAAAAGTGGAATATTGCTCTTGCGCCCCTTAAGTTGTAGAAACCTCCAATTTACTCAAAAACTTGTAGAATTCACCTTATTGACTCCAAAAGAATGGAAAACACTTGAAACAATTAAGATAGTTTGCAACCTATCCAATTGTGTAGCAATGGACTCAATCTTGAACACTTTGATCAAATAGGCCGTCCACTCATGAACATAAATGACTCTTCTCACTAGCTTTGATCAATGATCTTCATGGAGCACATAGAGTCAAACTCTCTTGATACTCTTCAGCACTTATTTCCATGAGGTCTTCATCTCCTTTGGTTTGAACCCCAAAGTTAATGACATTCTCATTACCTTGATCATAGCTCTCTTGAACCAACTCCCTATCACATAGGTAGTCAAGATCCATCCTTTCTTCCTTGATTGGCCTGCAAAGTAAACTTGGCATTCCAAATCTAGAATGAAGGACTAACTCATTCCCCTCACTAGGAGAACCTCCATGGAAGGCTACATGATTCTCATCATCCCCTCCTTCTTTAAGAGGATTCGTCCTCGAATCATCAACCTCTATACTTGCACAAGGAACAAACGAGATATAAGGGTTAGTAAAATCCTCACCCTCACCACACTCTGATTTTCTCTCATTGCGTGCATTTATTTCTTTTTCCACGCTATTTTCATGGTTTTCTCTCGCCTCAAGTCTTACCTCATCGTGACCCTTTTTACTTTCTTGCGTCACTCGCTCGACTTTTTCTCTCCCTTGTGTATAGGTTATCTTACGTCTTTTCTCTCGCACAGATTCAGATTCTTCACAAGCCAAAGGCTTAAGAATATATTTTCTGTCCTCTTTAGTAAAGACAAAGATATTCTTTGAGCAATGGTGCACAAAGATCTACATCCGATCGCCAAGGCCTACCTAGCAAAATATCACAAAGAGACATAGGAATTACATCAAAGTAAATTTCATCCATATACTCACCAATCGAAAAGGTACCATAGCCTTTTAGTAACATCCACAACCATCTCTTCACTCAACCATTGAAGCTTGTATGGTCTAGTATGCGGATCCATCTGAATTCCGTTTGCTATGCAAAATTCCTCACTTACACAATCAGTACTCGACCCACCGTCGATTACCAAATCAACATCATTGGACCACCCAACCGAACACTTAGTACGGAAGATACAAGTCCGTTGATCTCCATCTTCAGCTCCAAACACCAACCCCTGATCCTCAATTGGACCATTCCAACCACAAGAAGTATCATGCTCTCTTTCCACTTCTAAGGCAGCATAGTATGCCTCAAAGAGCCTTGATTGTCTCCTTATCTTTGGATGTTGTTTGAAACACTTGTCCAAGCGATAGTGGAAACGGTCTGTCAACATGTAGTCGTTCTCATCCACTTCTGAACTCAGAAACAACCCCTCTAATTCCTCAAAGTAAGATTGAATGGATCTACCATTCTGCTTACAATTGACAACTTCACTTTTGCTTCATCAAAGGTGTTAGTACCAGCATATCTTTCTCGGAAAGCACTTCTCAAATCATTCCAATTATCCAAATTACGATACCAATAATGCGAATAGATATTTGAAACTAGCTTCCACCAATTCAAAGCATTAGAACGAAAACAACCTATAGCTAAGGCTATTTTCTCACTCTCTTTCTCTATGTTAAGCAACACAAACAAATTCTCTATGCTCTTTTCCCAAGTATCATATTCTCTATGACAACCATAAAACAAAGGCAATGACACTTGCAACATTCCAGCATACGAGGGTACTTGTTTAACTTCAAAACGATCACATAAGACTCTTAAATTTTCAGCAATTTTCTCAAAACTTACCATAGCTTTATCTTGCTGATTTGAAAGCATTTGAGACAAGTCTCGGTTTGCCTCCTTAACCTCGGCCAAAGCATCATGTAGGAAGTCAATTTGACTCTTCATGAGCTGCACTTGAGCCTCCATGCGACCCTCTACACTCTTTGAAGCGATTTGAGTACAACCAGCAACTCCGGATGACATCTTTGCTCAACAATCTTGAGAATCCACCAACAAAAGAAGTAATGTGCCTTGTTTACTACACAAAAACTCCTTGAACCCTAGAACCAAAGTATGGTTCGGCCAAAACCCCCCCAAGAACCAAAGGAAGGTTCAAATAAAACTCTCCCCAAAAACAAAAACTCTCTTGTGCTTTTAAGAACACAACTCTCAAAAATTTCAGAATTAAAGAGAAGAGTGCTTCTCTTGCTTTTCTCTTTTGATCTCGGCAGCAAGAAAGAAGAAGAAAAATTGGAGTAGAGTGTGTGAGAATTTTCGAAAAACAGCACTCCTAGTTATAGGTAATGCAAGTCTTTTTGTGCAAGAAAACTCCTACAAGATAGGACCTAAATTTTCTCAAGAATATTCCCCCCTAATTGATGAAGGTTTGCTCGACAATGTGGAATAAAGAAGAAGAAAAACCGGCCTCATATATATAGACAAGGATAGAGTCCTAAAACTTAGGTAAACATAATCCTTTTTGGACACAAATTAAGAAAACTCATCCCTACTTATTAGAGATGAAATTTTCGACCCCCCTACTACTAAAAGGACTCAAATACACGGCCACACACATGCACAATTGTATTAGAAGACTAAAAATTTTTTTCAGATTAGGATAATACTTCCTTATCTTAATAGTTTTCGAAAATAGACTCACTTTAAAACTCTAATTATAATCTCACTGAAATTATAATTTAACACATGCAAAAATTAGTATTTAAATCCAAGTAGGACTTAAATAAAACACACAATAAAATTGTATTACAATTAGGAAACAATGGCTGCAAATTTCGGCCAATGTGAACACACAAATCCAAAACCGAATAGGACTCAAATCATAACACAATTTGGACTCAATGACCTTAATTTTATAGCTAAAATTTTCGGCCATGTGAACACACAAATACAAGACCAAATAGGTCTCCAAGTGTAACACAAATAGACAACCAAAATTCAAGTTCAACTAGAACTAGGAAAACCTAATTTTTAGCTTCACAATTTCGGCTATACTATGACTCTAAAATTCAAAACCAACTAGGCTTAGAATAACACACAAATCACACGCACACACATGCAAAAAGTCAGCAAAATTTCGGCCATTAACCTTTTACCACATAGTTAAAATTTGAAAAATTACTTTTGACTCACTTAAAAAGGAAACTTGAAAATTACCACTTTTCAAAAATGGACAACAACTTTTAGAATCTTTCTAAAAACCCTTTTCCAAATTGTACTTGGAATTAACAAAAATCACCTTTTTACCAAAACAATCCATGGCAAATAAAGTAACAAGAACACCATAATTACATTTCAATTATGACATTTGCTTCATAATACTAAATTCAACACAAATCATTCTGAAAAACTCAATGACTTAACAATGCCATCTTCATAAGTGACCATTGAAAATCAATCTTCCAAGAACCAAATATGTAAACTTTGAGAATACATCTCAAAACCTATAAGATTTCTTGTCAAACATTAAGAAAATCTTTTTAGAAAAACTTCACTTAATTTTCGGTCATATTCTCGAAAATCAAGGTTTTAGAACATAAGTCAAAGACTTCAATCCTTAAAGTTGGCACAATTCAACTTCAAAGGCCTTAACACACTTTGATACCAAAACTGATATCACTAAAATTCATTCCTCATCACTTGACAAAGAAAATTTTTGACTCAAACTCAAAGTGCAAAACTCGAGAAAACAAGGAAACCAACACTTGTTAATTTTGAAAAAATCTTTTGACACTAAGATTAAACAAAATTCGGTCTCTATGAAATTTTCATGAATTGAAAATCCATAAATTCCATTTTACTCATTAGATTCAAATGAAACCAACAAGAAGGAAGGCTTTTTCATTTATACCTTATGTAGAAAGTACAGAATCATTAAGCTTCACCTTTCAAAGAATAGATCCAAGATATTTACCACAAGATAAACTCTCAAATCTTCCTTATGTAAAGACATCTCTTTAGAAAGAAAAGGCTATCTCGAGCAAGAAGCTCTTCTTTGGCATCAATTCTCTCCTTAAAGATCCGACACATAAGATCCACCAACTTGCTCATAGGAGAAACAGTTCTCTACTTGCAAATCAAGGATAAATTTCAAGATGTAGCGCCCACTTTGATTAGATACTAACGTACCATCATCCAGCTCTCGCATAGACCTCAAAATAACACCACAAGATCAAACAAATGTGTAAGAAGTCTCGCACAACCACACAAAAGACAAGATCAATTTTGAAAACGTAGTTTTCACAAGAATTTGATTTATTTTTTCAACACCCCATTCCAAAACAAGAAGGAACCTTGAAACAAATAAAGATAGTACTACTCGTTAAGTAGCACAAAGCTCGATCACCACACCAACTAACGGATTCCGTGGTAATTCAAGATATTCTCAAAACCAAGAACTATGAAGTTCCCAACTAAGAAGAAATCTCTCGAAAATCAAATCGATAATAGGAATTGATATGACAATATCAATTAATACCATCACTAAGATAATCCAAGCTCGATACCAAGAAACGATAGCAATCTCGTAGACGAAGCAAATTTCGTTAATGCAACCATCAACAAGAAAGTACGAAGATAATTTTGTCTATCCCGTGAAACTCAAAAGAGTGCGAAAAATTCACAAGAAGACGATCGTTTATCTAAGTGATTCTATCTCTTAACTCAAACCAAGCAAAGAACACATTATCCATGAAAGATTCGAATTAAACAACAACCCACGCTAAGAATAGCAAGGACACCATTCAATATACTCGATCAGTCATTAATCAAGAGACTCAAGAAAGGTAGGAGCAAACAATGCCCAACTATGAAGGAATACTATTGATTAGTAATCTTCATAACCAACCAAAGATATGCAACACATACACTATCTCAAAATGCTTATGCCAAAGCACAACTCATCCCAACAAAAGTAGGACAAACCCCACAATGGATCTCATGAACACACTCATCATGAAATTTGAACACCAAGCCAAAGGAAAGGCTCATCAATCGAACTACTAGAAGTAGTATGAAAATAAGAAGTTTAGTTTTAAAACAATTCTATCAAGAAGCATACTTGAAAAAGAATGGTTTCTGCAAGATCAAAAAGATCCAAGACAAGATGAAAACCCTCTTGGTTTAAACATATACTTGACACGAAAAATGGACACTCCATTTAACAAAAATTCCTCACAGGAAAAACTCTCAAAGAGACAACAAAAATGACCACTCAAGGGTGCTTCTAAAATTCGGCCAAGCCTCCTTTATATAGGCTTGAATTTTTCGGCCAGCACCTCTAAAAAGAAGACCAATTAGGACTCTCTAATCTTATCTCACAAGGAGTAAAAGTAGAAGAGTACTTGATCTCTTTGACTCTATCTAAAATCTAGGAAACCTTATCTAAATCACTTATCCTCAAGTAGGATAATATCTAGAAGAAATCTAAGACTCCTAATCAAAACACTCTAGCTTAAATCAGTCCACATGACTTATTTAACTAGATAAAATTTGAAAATAACTCCTAGACTTAGACAATGACTCTAATCTCGAAATTCAGCTCCAAATTATTGAAGTAAAATGTCTTGAACGCCCTTCCAAAAGTGGAATATTGGTCTTGCGCCCCTTAAGTTGTAGAAACCTCCAATTTACTTCAAAACTTGTAGAATTCACCTTATTGACTCCAAAAGAATGGAAAGCACTTGAAATAATTAAGATAGTTTGCAACCTATCCAATTGTGTAGCAATGGACTCAATCTTGAACACTTTGATCAAATAGGCCGTCCACTCATGAACCTAAATGACTCTTCTCACTAGCTTTGATCAATGATCTTCATGGAGCACACAGAGTCAAACTCTCTTGATACTCTTCAGCACTTATTTCCATGAGGTCTTCATCTCCTTTGGTTTGAACCCCAAAGTTAATGACATTCTCATTACCTTGATCATAGCTCTCTTGAACCAACTCCGTATCACATAGGTAGTCAAGATCCATCCTTTCTTCCTTGATTGGCCTGCAAAGTAAACTTGGCATTCCAAATCTAGAATGAAGGACTAACTCATTCCCCTCACTAGGAGAACCTCCATGGAAGGCTACATGATTCTCATCAGAGGGCCGTCTACTCCGTACGATGTAAAAGAAGTTGATTTCATGTCAAACACATTGGTTAGGTACAAGGAAGAAAACATTGGTCTGGAAGCCTTCACATGGAAGGACGTTTGTTCCTACTATTGATCACCTACCGACCCGGACGACGTCATCGATGATCTGTTTAAAAGGTATATGGAATTAGCCTGGCAAAGTGGAAGGAGAAGCCGTCTGAGAAGTCTTACTCTATTCATTTCTCGGACCACCGTCTTGCCTTCATCACTTTTGAGTTTGGATCATTAGTTGAATTGAGTTTGCTGAATTGTCGTGTTCCGAAGCTGGATCGGATATTTTGGCCTAATCTCAAAAGACTCTTTCTGTAACGTCCCAACTCACCTATCTGTCATACAACATGTATAACTACGAGTTGAGCCGTCCACCGGGCTCTCGCCCAAGGCGCAATACTTTTATTTACTTTTAATACAAATTCTAAACATCGACTTAACATCCTCACTATTTAACCTAGCTCATGTCATATTACAACTATCAATAACATTATATCTTGTACAAAGTCTTGCTTCCCTTGGACTCATCTGCATCAATCCGTTCTAAACCTGGGAGTGGGATACGGGGATAAAATATGAAAAGGAGGTAAACGCCGATCTCAGTGAGGTTCTCACTACACTACTACGACATTTTAGTAAAAGTATTTTCGTGAAATATTACTCAAAAGATAAAACAATTTTGCATAGAATTAATCATCAATCAACTATTTTATATTAAACAGTTAACAATAGGGTGGATACAGAGAAACCTTAGTAAGGACCGTCAAAGAGCCGACGTGGTACAGAGACGGACTCCAAGCCAGGTTTCAACAATACGATAGCGTCCATCCGGA